ACTGACTGTGCATCTCGAGCATAAACCTGCATGAGCTGTTGTGCTGCAAAGAAAGATTTTATCAAAAAATCAAACTGAACTTTCTGGATTCCAACAAGCTTAAAAATATTTCTTGCAAAGAATACACCAATAAGCAGGGCAAGAGAAGAGGTTTTGGAGGCCCTGGGACAAAACCCAAAGATGAGATTATTTCTGTGATCACACACTTAAGATAAGCTTAAATGCATTTCAGAATATTTCTTGCAGTCACTTCCAAGCAGTAACCTATGAAATTTAAAAGAAATTTCTTACCATCAATTATTTCATAGCTATCAGAGCTGTCAGACCTTGTGATTTTCTTTTTTGATATTTCCTCACTCTCTGGACTTCCCTGCTTTTCTTCCTCAGCCTCATCATCCACTGATGCAGCCTCATTGTTAGGCTTTACTGGTCTTGATGACCCAAGTAGGGTTTCCTTTTCTACCTTATTTTCTTTCGGAGAACCACAATAGAACATAGTATCTGAAGGTAACAAAATTTTACGCCCATCACCATTGACAGCCCCCTTCTCATCTGCAACAATTTTCCCACGACTCATAGTCTTCAAAAATGATGAAGTTCTTTCAGTTCTTTCTGCTTCTAGAGTAGTGTTTTCATCTTCCTCTTTCGTTTGTAAGTATAAACTACTATCCTTTTCTTGGCCATTTTCTAGATCAACAATAAGGACAGGGTTTTCAATGTTATACATAGTATTTTGACCCCTTTTCCTATCACTGTCCAATATTCTCTCTGGATACCTAGTTATTGACTTTTTTCTTTTCTCTGAATACGCTCTCATTCGCTTGAAGCTTCGACTCAGGACCCAATGCCTGTAATATTCCTGGATTACCTTCGCAGCACTATTAGCCTTCTCTTTCCCTCCATATTTATTAGCCAGCAAATCATTTGTAACAGCTTGCAAATCAGGTGAAAGTTGATAAGAGTCTGCTCTTCCCTTACTATCATGCCTTTTCACATGAATTGAGCTAGTTCGCTTTATTGACTTTTGTGGGGTTACTGAAGCTCCTTTTGCTTCTGGTGTTGATTTCACTGGTGTGTCTAGCAGGCTTGCGTAATCTTTATTGTATCTTACTTCAGAATTGCCCTTCTTGATGGCTGGAACACCATCTGCACTATCTAATGAGCTGGAGTCTCTGTCACTTAGTGCAATCTCCACTTCTTGCACCTCAGTTTCTTTTGTCTTTGTATGCTGTTGCTTAAAGGACTTCTCCACATCCATTTTCTGGTGACCATGAATATTTCCTGGGTTGTGGTTTCTATGGGAACAAATAATCCAAATGAAGTATTTAAAAAGATAAATATAGTTACTTGAAGACCTGTCAAATTCTACATTTCAAAACTTTAGAAGACATTTCCCGTTTCATGTCAGCATTTAAATAGAAAAAATTTTCCATCCCAGAAAAACCAAATTTCTAAAACTTTTCTTGCCTTTCTAAAACATCCACAATCTTAACATTTTGGCTCCTTCGCTTTCAAATATTTTTTTGCCTGGAAAATCTGAATGAGCTTAGGAAAGATGTTGATACATAAATCATACTGAAAGGCTTTTTCTTAAATTGAAACACTTGAAACATTGTGACTCACAAAGTCCAAAATCCTTGGTTCATAAACCTAGGCTAATCTAGTTACGGCGAGTTGCATCTGTTCCCTGTCTTCTTCAACTGGAAGCCACAAATCCTTAATTTAAATCATTTTTGTGATGAAATTGTTTCATTTCAGTTGTTATTTGTGGTTCAAGTATTAAATAGAAATGTAGTAGTTAATTATTGCTGTGAATGAAATGTTTTGAGTTTGAGTTTTGAGTTTGAGTTTATCAAAGGCAGAGTTCAATTGACTAAGATATCATCAAGCCACGCAAGTTGGAGGCAATAAACACATCCCTAATTAAATATATACCAAAGCTGGTAAAAGATCTGCTAAATTACATATGTTCTTGGCTTGGTAGAGGAATAAGCAAATACTATAATATTTCTATTGCAAAGATAGACAAGAAGAGTGTTCTATTTTATACTATGTTTCTCATAATCTCACAATACCTCAGACAATGGGAAAAATTTGGTTTTACCCTTTTTCGATTACATGTGGCACATACTTGGTCCTTTTTTATTTGATATGCACACCCTGGACCAAAATCCTACAAAATGTTGAATTTTTTCAATTTTTTCAATTTTTTCAATTTTTATTACAAAAAAAACTTTCATGGATAGCAACAGAATGTAGAATTCAAAAACTCCTTTGCTTAGTGTAACTTTTGAACATCCCTTTGCCCAAAAAGTGTACTGTTGCACATAACAAGTTTAAACATCCCCAACACAGTTGTCATCAAATAAACATGAATTGGAAGCATGCCTGTTAAAACATTCTCTATTGTCTTACATGACAGGGGGTCACACAGTTCTTATACTGTCAAAATTGGGTCGGTACCAACTTCAATATTTTTCAGACGCTTTTCTTGCCAAAATTTTTAACAGAACTTTAGTATATTTAGCAAACTTTCGCAATGGTTGGTGGTGAGAAATGCGAAATCATCACGTGTTTTATCCCATTTGAGAATGACATAAAAACGCCGCAAATAATGTTAAGGTTTTACTTTAGGCCACAAATATTCCCAGCCACCAATATCGATCATAACTCGGTAAACTTGATTTCATCGTTAAAAAAATGTCAAGGAATCTAAACGGGGTATACTTATTTCAGTGGAAATTTCTTTTTGAAAATTGACACAGAAAATCAAAAATAAAAAACTTTGTAAGTTTTCAATGGCGACAGTTCAATCTAATCTGCCAACAAAACAAGCGATTCAGCGCGAGGTTCAACAGCATTATCTCTAAACCATACGAATTGGATTTTCTGAGCCAGTTATCGGATTCATACTGGAAAGTTTGTTTTTATAGAATCGAAAAAATAGGCAACTCACTCTGGCCTTCCTTCTGCGAAACTGCGCTGGCATTGAAACAAATCGTTATTCTCGTCAGTCTGTGTTGCAATATCTCTCAAGGAATACGTGTCGTTGACACATCTCTTACTTAATAAAGCATCCCTTTCCTCTTCCAGACTCTTGACACTGTTTTTCAAAATTTCGATCTGCTCATTCTGTTGTACCAGGAAATTTTGCAACAGCTCTATAAGTTTGAGCCCCTCCTGGGTCGAAGTGCAAGAGTCCTTCCTGTCTGAACTCGTAAAGCTTAGCCGTGACATTTAGCAGGCTGTTGGCTTCCTCTGTTTGTTTTGAAGTACTGCTATATTGCTTTACGTACCCGTTGACGATACATGCTTTCTCGATCTATTAAAGTTTAACTGTAAACACTAAAAAGATGTGTACACCCAGCCTCCATGTTGTCGTGGTATAAGGAAAGTCTCGTGTTCAAAACGTCATCAACTCTCGTACTTTTCATTGGTTGACAAATAATTTCATCACGTCATATCTCAAACTCAATTAACATTGTTTTATTATAATTTCAAAGGGAACGAAACATTTTTCAACAGATAATGCTGCTCCACTATTCTTCAAAGTTTCGACAGTTTCTCCACCAAAACATCGGGTAGCAGTGAAAATGAAGAAACAATGAGATTTTGATATGCAAAGAAATATCAATATTTACAAAAGTTTCCTTACAAACAGAACATTCGTTCTCGCAAACACGGATTATTCTATCGCTGTAAACAGACATTTGACAAGATGCTTCCAAGATAGAATCATTATTTGAATAATTAAGAAGGAGATTTATCGATGTCCATTTTAAATGGATTTCATCTTAAATTCTGCACCAAAACTTGCAAGAAGAATAGCGTCGTGGCAGGGCCTCAGGGCCTAAAATAAGAAATTTTTACAGATCCACATTTTCTTATAAAAATTGGGCGTGGTACCTTGCTGGGATTGGCACAATGGACGTGGCAAATATTTGGCAAAAACTTAAATAAACGAAGTATAAGAAGCTGATTCTTTTCAATATATTAATTGGGTTAATAAGAAAATTAGCAACATATAGTTATGTCTCAACTTATGAGCAAAAAGTTATCTAAAAGAAACCCTTTTACATTGTTTGTTCGGATATCTGTCAAAGTTATTTTTTCTTTCCTTTAACCTTCAAAAACCCCTCATGTCAGTCTTGCTTTCCAGACTTTAGTGTTTTTGGTTTCTTGAAGCAAAATCTTTGCAGCTGTTCATGGAACTTGAAACTTGCGAGATCAAGCATATTCATTGCAATATTCATATATTTGAAAAGTGTAGATGGGAATCAGCCTCTCTACATCGGCAGAATAAGGATTTGCTGCCAGATACCGTGACATTGTCTCGCCTGGTAGAATTCCTCTGAGAACAAGTTTGAGATCTCTGTGATCTTAGTCATTTATTTCTCAAATTTCAATGCATGATTGAATGAAATCTTGCTAAATTTTTATCCGGGGCAAAAGCTGGGTGAGGCTTTCAAAAGTCGTTTTTTGCTTATGGAAAGTTTTTATTTGCATTCAGCCCATCAAATTATTTGTCATTCAAATATTTTCTTAAAAACGTTTTGATACTATAAAGGAGGTAGCAAACGTTAGGGATGGCAAATAATATCTTCTCTCTGATGTAAAAATTGTGCTTATCTCTTCTTATTCTCTTTTCGCGTAGTATGAAAGGATCATATTTGCCCCAATCTTGTTTGTACCGCAGACACCACGCACCACCCCACAAGGGGAGTGGCTGGAACGGAACTAGGAGGCTTGTCCCTAAATTTTTTACGGCCACGCCATTTTAAACACCGGAAAACACCCCTTTCAGAAAATATTTGCTTCTTTCTTTCCTTATTCATAAACATAACGATTTGGAGAAGATTTCGATTAACATAAACAAACAAAACCGAGTTAGATAAAATACAAATCTATCTTTGACAACACCAAATAAAGCACCATCAAAAAGAACAAAAACGTGTTCCCAGCAGAACTGCTACTAATGCGTTCGTTAGCGTAAACTTTCAAAACATTTTCTAACCTATCATTGCAAAAAATTTGGGAAGGACAATAGTCCCTGTAATGCCATATTCCTAATTGAATGTTCCTCCCAGCTACCACCGAGAGGCCTATCATATTCAGCTGCTGTAGCCTTGAGAGGAATCTTTCCAATGCTTCTCCAATTTAAAACACCTTAGTTTAATTGCTTTGCAAATTTTTCTTAAATCTACTGTAAGATATCACATACACCCCAAAATTCATTACGGACAGGAAATCATAATCTCAGTCTTGGTCTTCAGGCTCAGTGTCTTCTTTTTTAAGTAAGTTATAAAGCAAAAATATTTGAGATGCTGTCGTGAAGTTGAAGCTGTACACCGAGTCAATCTTACTTCAAACCAGCATGACAATCAATGGCGTCCCCACGGGGTGGACTGGGGTGGAAATGTCCACCCTAGTTTTCCCAGAAGTCGATTTTCTAATTTCTCGAAATCCGTCGAAGAACCTTTGGGTAGGGGGAGGAGTTGGACTGATAAGATCTATAGCCACCGTTACGAAAAAAGCTGCTTGAGAAAGTTGCTTGTCCAAAGATTTCGAAATAGATAAAGAAAAGGCTTTTCCAAGTGTCTGAAGGGCGTGGCCAAGAAAATTTGTTCTTGTCCACCCCAGTTTTTTCGACCTGGCGACGCCACTGACGACAATATTGTAAAGCACAATTGGTTTTTCTCCACATGCACTGAATCTTACAGTTTTGAAGTTTCTTAATTCTTTTTATTGTCCATTTTTCATTTCTTGTAGCAATTTACACAAGGCTGGGATTGGGTATTCACTTTGCATTGGAAAAAGATCCTAATTCTTACCTAGGCGTTTTGATTACTATTTTATGCAGTACTTTTAAGAAAATGCACAATCTAAAAATCCACACTTTCTACAATTACAGCTCCACAGTTTTAATTTACAACTCCACAAAGTGAGTCAGATCAACGCTTATTTTAGGCAAGTTTTCGGATAGGTATTTTCGTGTTACTTTATGAGGTATTAATTTTTTATGCGAGTTACTTTGCTAGGTTCAAAACATCTGGGATGATTTTTTAGGTTCACAACTAGAAACAGCTTTGTTTCCTATCATTTTTGACTAAAAGTTAGTTGAATTTTTATTTTTTGGGGTTCTGAAAGTGTAGGTGAACTGAACTGAGAACCCCTTACGATGCGTATATGGTATTGAAACTCCCCTTGATAATATTTTGATATGATAACTCGTCAAAATTGTTTCCAGAGGACTTCAGCAAACGGGGCAAAACAAAAGTCTGTTGTCTGAAACAAACAAATATCGTTGCGGCTGAAAGGGCAATAACATACATTAACTACAAAAATTTTCGGACAAAAATTTTGACGAAATTTTCTCTAACTAAATTCAAAAGGAGACGAAATTTTGTCACGACGATAATTTTTGCATTTAAGATTTTTGAGAATTCGAATAGAAAAACTTATGTATCCTTTTGATCCATTAATTTACAATTACATCATTTTCCTCCAATGCCGTCGGAACGAATTTCATATGGGGGGTGGGGCTGCCCGTTGTATTCCTTCTCATTCAGTACACTGTTATAAAGGAAACATACTACAGTTTGACAATTATTTGGGGGGCTCCAGCCCCCAGCCCCCCGTTCCCGACAGGCCTGTCCTCATTTACATTATCTTCATAAGTAACTTTATCGTAGGCATCAACATCTTCATCATTGTCGGTCCTTGAACTAACTTAATCCGAACGGGTACTCAAGCCCTCAAGTCTCCACAAAGCTGGTACCTATGGGGTGGATTGAATACAAAGCAACCTGTATGGTTTTGCTTTTTAAGATTTTGGTAATAGGTTGCTATCTCTGTGGTAAAATAGGCGATGAAATTTTTGTCACGACGAAATTCTGAAAATTTGTCTGAAATTCTTTTCGACGGAGTTTATCTTGTTAATGTATGTGGGTTGAAATCATCAAAGGGGGCAAGATCCTGTACAAAAATAATTCCACCAACGAATGATTTCAAGTCGTCCCGGGTTGAAATCAACCGGGATTGAAGTCGTCCCAGGTTGAAATAAACCCGGGTTGAAGTCGCCCCGGTCGTTTGCCTTTGAGTTTATCTACTAACTGTTCCTGGAGATCTCTCGCAATGTCACCAATGCGTCTTGCGACAGTGTCATTGGACAGTGGGATGGCTTTTATTTTTGCCACACTTGCGTTGTCAAGCATAATAGAAACCATGTCTACTGCTTCCGGTGTGCTATGCGTATCAGTAGCGCTGAATAATCTTTCAAAGGAAACTTGGGTGCAGCTAAGTGTCATCAAGCATTTATACGCGTTGTAGAGGGAAGGGTATGCTGCTAGGTGCATGTTGTATTCGCTAATTTTTTTAAAGAAACGAGTCAGCCCGGGCCGAGTCAGTCAGTCAGTCTATATCAATGATGTATCAAAGTTCCACCAGTTTTTTGCCAATTCCTCATAAGTGTACAATTTATTGAACAGTTTTCCGATATCTTCAAAAACGCCCAAGATCTATGATTAACCAAGACTTATGACTAACGCAAATTTGTTTCTTCACTTATGACTACTGCGAATTATTTCAAATGCCTGATATCGAATAGCTGAGAGGGTTCTCACTTTGGAAGCATTAACTGAGTACAATCCTATGTTCTTTCCATTCAGAATGGTTGTATCTGGATAAGATTATCGATGCATTGGCAGTTGGGTATGGGAACGTTCACATCTTACCTAATCAAAGATGGAGGGTTCACACAAAGAAAGAACCTTCACACAAATGTTAACGGTCGTAATGATCAATAAATGATGCAAATTAGATGATAATTTAGGTGGAAGAGGATTTTTTCAATGTTGCCTATATTTTGTCATGTAATTTGTGCATGTTCCTTTCTTGAATGATAATACTCTTTCCAGGGCCTATTTTAGTGTGCAGTATTACACACTTTGTTCAGTATTAATTTAAAAACGTACAGTATTGATTTCGAAAATGTGCAGTATTGAATTTTGGGATTTGTGAAAATGTCTTTTAGCGGCTATCCCAGATTCCTGCTTTGTTCACAAAATGTGAACCTTCCTCCTCACTTTGATATAGAGTTCATGTATTGTAATTATCGTATAACCATCGGAAAGACTCTCTTATCAAAACTTAAAACAAAGCGAAATTCCCAGAACCAAAAACAAAACATCTCCTGTAAATGTCAGCATTGCTGTAAATTTCGTAATTTGATCTTGTCGAAGATAAAACATTCAATAACAATTTATCAGTTGTCCTATCATGCTCTGGGCATCTAGCAGAAGCTCACTTAACTTAACTAACTAAAAGAAAGATAAAGAGCCTAATAAAACTTTTTTGTTTTACTGTCCAGACAAAACATGAGATAGTGACTCCGTTTACAAGAGATAAATGACTATGTTTCTATTCAGGTTTTGTAGCTACTGTTTGTTTTGTTGCTGTTTTGAAATGTTATTCTTGATTGTGTATATTATCGTCTATCTGTTTGTGATTTCTCCGTCATGGCCTATACACATGTTCAAAAT